TGACATGCTTTCCTGATTTGCAAAATGTGGTCGTGTACTCTTCATTTTGGTCTCATTAAGTTGTTATGTTCCTTGTCAATTTGATGAATAGTTTTCAAAAGTATTTGTTGGACATTAAAAGGGGCTAGGTCATGCAATTTTGATCAGTTCTAGAGTTTGTGAACTGGTTATAGAATTAACGGCTTAATACTGTAGAAAAGCAAGAGAGAAACAGAGAAAAGCTGAAAAGGGGCATGGATTGGGCAAACTTGAAAAACATTGTCCAACATTTTTCAAGTTTATCCTTATTTGTTTTGTGTCCATGATTTCATCCATTAAAGACTGATGCTAGGCCAATTTGAAGTTTAGAGGTCAACTTACAAAAACAAACAGAATTACTTTAAAATACCATGACCTAGGCCCTTTCAGGCAAAGGGTGGGGAAGGACTACACAGGAAATTATTTTGTTTGGAAAAAGGCACTAAATTTTGCTGCTTTTACTACAAAAGCACAAAACAATGTGTTTATTTGGTAGTTTACAACTGTACCAACAGATTGTTGGGAATGTGTGGTAGCTGAATTTTGTTTTGCATACCTATGCTTCTATTTCTAAATTACTTCGTAATCACACTTTGTTGTGATACCCATTTAAAATTTGAAAATTTAATGTCACTCAAGTGGTGATTGGTGATTCAAATTATTTATGTTGTTATGAGTCTCAATGTGAAATAGACCAATTTCGATATATTAAAATTTTGCCTAAAACAGTAGACCTCAGCACGAGGCTCCAGGGAATAAGTACAGAGTTTGTGGGGTTTATTCCCTGAAGCCTCGTGCTGAGGTCCATTGTTTTAGGCTGAATTTTAATATATCGAAATTGGGCTATTATGTAACCATATTTACTCAAACTTGTGTATACTGTGTTCAATTTCACATTTTTTGAAATAAATGAAATCATAACATCCCAAATTTCCACCATAACTCAAATTTTCAAATGAATCAAGTGCATCATTGTCTGCAAAGAATGCAACTTGATGAAAGAGCATTTCAATTCATATTTATTTCTTGACTAGAATGTTCAATAAATTGACGTGTTTCATTGGTGCTAGCCACATAGAACAATAGGTCATGTTACTTTTTTGTAAAACTTGACCTTTATAAGAAGTTGTGATTTTGAACAGCACAACAACATTGTAATTAAGGGTACCCTACTTTATCATTCATGTATATTAATGTTCATAGCAGAGAATGTTTATTATTCAAAGAAATGTTTTAAGATTATAAGGTACCAATACAATATTATTCCATTGATGCCATTATGATGCAGTGTTGAAAATGGTATTTTTGAGAGAGAAAAAAAAAGCAAATCTTATTTTTCATATCTCTTGTAATTTTGATACTTTGCCTAGTTAAATGGAATAAAACACTTAGTAGGCCTAACCAAGCAAGGTTTGTTAAATGTTTTCACAAGTAACTGTAGAAAATACCAGAAAAAGAGGAAAGTGGGAAGGGGAAATAAACAGTCTATTTAACAGATGCTATTATACACATGGTTCATGCAACTGCGACCAAACCTGTAGTAATAGTGGGATGGTTGGTTGAGGGTACGATACCAGTAGAATTAGTGGCAACATTACTTTGGACACAAATTCTGTTCCAACATACTCCCACTGTGTACAATGAAGTTAATCTTTCATGGAAATGTACAAGATGGGTTGTAAGGGGGTGGGGGAGGTGTGCAGAAAGGGGAAATAAAGGCAAGGACAGCCTGAAGATCTACATGTAGTGACATTACTTTGTACTGGCCACACTCAAAACAAAGATGGCTGTATTAATATTGCCACGATACGAGCAGGGGTTCTCCCAAGAACGGGGGGGGGGGAGTGTTCATTGTACCTTTCAGGGGTTAAAAAAGTGGTTTTAGTACCTCTTAGGGTGCTCAGCCTCAACAGGTCCACAGCAGGAGCATTTGCTGTACCTTTTACAGTACTGAGCTGAAAACAATGTGACGGAAGATATTGTGTTGTTTTAGAATTGGCACCTGTTAGGGGTGAAAAAAAATTGAAGCCACGCCCACAAAACAGGACTTTGATACCTCTTGGGGGTTCTTTTCAAAATTTCCGACGAGTACCCCCGCTCCCTGGGGGTTCTC